TATATAATGGTAAATATGTTTGGCATTACCAATGAATTGCATGACAGCTTTCTGATCTGATAATTCCTCAGTGAATTTGGCAAAAACCAGAGTGTATTTACAGAATTGAGTCAGCAAAATGTTGGTTGACAGGTTCCTCCTAATACGCGCCATCGTAGAATTTTAAAATTTTACAAACCTTTAAAAAATAAATAGATTATAAAAGCTGTCCTAATATTTTAAAAAAAAATTTTCAAAAATAAATGGCAGAAGTATATTTAGGAATTTTACATATAAGAAATCTACTATATGCTGTTAATATGCAGTTGCAATCAGAAGAATATAATTTAATAAAGGTTCACTAAATTATTCTGCAGAAATGCCAAAGTAATCCACTTCTAAAAGTTCTATTCTTCTATGAAAATGTTGAGTGGAGCACTGCAATTATAGAATCTAGAAATTTAAAATATATTTATAATAATTATACATACTATTCTAACTTCAAATTTTGAAAATGTCGAATGGATTGGATTGGATGGAGAATTTAAAATTAGCGGAAAAATAAAATAAAAGAACTAGACATATTTTTCGAATAAATATTTAAAATTTATTTTAAAAATATAAAAATAATCAAATACTGTTTCTCAAAATTATTATTTATATATTAAAAACATTAAAATGCTAAAAAAAAAAATTGTGGGAGATTTTTGTGGGAGATTGTGGGAGATTTCGAATTGTGGGAGTTTTGTGGGAGTGAGATGTATGTGGGTTAACTAAAAAATTGTGGGAGACTCCCACTGATGGGGGGAGGCATGGCAACCCTGATAACATCGTTAGATTCAAAGTGGTTCACAATCATTTTTAGCCGTTTAGGTTTCGATGAAAACGAGCTAACGGGTCAAGTTATATTTAAGGGTTCGGTTTAGATCCCTATATATATATATACACATGAAACTTGAATGAAAAAATTAAGCGTATGCTTTATATATTATAAATAATGTACGATTAAATCGAACTCCCTACGGTTGTGTTGATCTCATGATTGACAGAAAATGAGAATTCAACTTGGGAAATTTCATATCGCTATACTGGGTTTGCTTTTTATTTTTATCATAAAAGATAATTACCCACCATCACCCACCCACCCCCCCCCTCCCGAAATTGGGGAGTTTTAAAATCACGGTCAGAATGAAACAATCAATTATGTTTTCTTCCTTCCTATACTATTGTTCTGATTTACGAAACTTAAATTTATACGACTAATATGGATAAAAGGAGCTGCTAATGTGACGCATGTTTTGTTCTTTAAAACAAAGTATTTTTAAATTTCCTAAGGTTTTTTTTTAATATAACGTTATCGAACTTTTACCCGCGTTCACAGTTAGTGCGAATTCGCGTCAAAGTAGACAATTTCATCTTTGTATCCGCGTATTCCCATAACTCATTCGGTTTTGAATAGGTCATTCACATGCACATATATTTTTTCATCCTTTTTAGTTTGTTAATGGTTTTTTTTTAAATATCATTTGGTAATAAAAAAACAAAAACGGCGGACATTGGTTTTTTTAGATTTTTTTTAAAAAAATATTTTTTTTATTAGGTTGCATCCAAAACACCAAAAATATTTAATTCAAAAACGTTGGCGAAAAAACACGAAGTCTTTTGTTATATAAAAAAATTAAGAACTTGGTCAATACATATTTTTTTAAATCTTTATATTTCTATAAACAGGTAAAGATACCTAAAAAGAGAATTCTTATTTTGACGATATCATTTTTTTAGACTTAAAGTGTATCGATTTTATATCGAAAACTAGAGTTAAAATGATTCGATTTAGTGTGCTAAATAAAAATTTTCGCTAAAATATTGTTACCGAAGCCTCGAAATTTCTTTAATAGAAATGTCAACATCTGCTATTTTGGGGAAAATCTCTAAGCTTGTTTAATTTACTATTAACGCCTCTTTTTAAAAATCGGCTAAATCGAACAGTTTTTAAAAATCGATGAAATCAAATCGTTTTTAAAAATCGGTCAAGAGCCGTTTAATTTTTTATTGTTTATTAATTAAACGCTTGTATTAATAATTTAGACTAATTTGAAAAAAAATTTTTGATACGCTTCCCAAATATATATTAAATTGATTTGGCTTGCGGTACAGTGCATAACATTTTTTTTTGGAATTGCTGGGTTATTTTTACCGAAATTAAATTTAATCAAGGTTAGTTTGATCGCGATAAAAATTCCTATTTTATCTCGCGATATGGAAATCGATATTTTAGGGAGTCGGGAGATGGTGGGGAGGGAGGAAGGATTATCCAATCTTCATTTGATCGAAATTCATAATATTGGTTGGTAAGGTGAGCCCAGAGTTATATATATCCGTAAAGATAGACGAATAGCAGCCGATAACCGGATATCTTTTCATAATCACTTACTAATTTGGGAAACGTATTTTTTAAAAAATTATAGCCTTCTCTACCCATAAAAATCATTGTATAAGATATTATGGATTGGTAGATAGGAAAATATCGGCCCATACAAGATATTTAACAGATATTCCCTTAGCTTAATTTATAATATAATCAATTTAAAAAAATAAGTATATGTTCCTCTCCTCATTAAAACATTGTTGGTATGCCATGCGAAATAAACAACGTTCCATTTAACTATATTATTAAATAAAAATCGATAGTTTTAATTATCACCTCCCCCCTCCCCACATCTCAAACATTTTTTTAATTTCAATTTAAAAAAGAATAGGAATTTTAAAAAACCGAGTTGGTAAATAGATAATCTCAAAGAAAATATTTTAATGAAATAAACTCTTCTTTGAATAGATGAATTGATCATCTAGAACCATTAATTTATATTAGGATTATCCATGAGTGACCTTATCTCATTTGCAGAATTTAAAATTAGCTCATTGACCCCATAAAATATTCAATTTTATTTTTCGATTCTAACAACCACTACCTTGGATAATAAAATATTATAATATATTTTATCCAAAATTCCAAAACGGGCTGAGAAAGGCTCAGTGAGACTATCACTAGCTTTAACCTTGGGTTCTTGTCAAAATTTCTGAATTTTTATTTCCACCCCATCCTGTTTGCAAATGCAATAATACCAGCTATATCTACTGCTGCTTAATTATTGATAGTAAAGTATTCACACAGATGTCAACACCCTTTTATAGAGCTATCAGTATATATTGCTTTATGCATTATTTTGAAACGGTGTTTCAGAAGGCTAGATTAGGCTAGATTTTTTCTTACTTTATCTCCGGTCTAATGGCCTCCCTCTAGCCCAGGGATAGCCCTCATCCATTTCTTGAATAAGCTTAACTTTAGAGTTCACGCAGAAAACCAGAATAAATTCTCCGACCTAATAAATGTCTATTGTAACTGGATTTGTTAAAAGATGCTCTTTCAAATATATCGTATCTTAATAATATACAACTTCACAAGATGCATTTTTTTATAATTATATGAAGTACATGCAAAATGCCCAAATTATGAAAAAACTCGCATTGTGAATTGAACCAAACATTTTTAGTTTGATATAATTTACATTATAAAATATTAAATTTTTAAAATAAAAATAAAATATATAAAAAAAAATTTTACCATAATAATTTTATCGCACAAAAACGTTCGAAAATTTAAAATAATGTTAATAAAATAAAACGACGATTGTCTGAAAATGGGAAGAAAAAATATTTTTGAGCAGGTGGGATTCGAACCTATACATTTTGTTTGTGAAAACCATCTCTCCCATTTTAGGTTTCTGTTGGTTAATAAAAAACACGAAATGAATTTTTTTAAGTATATCGGGGATATCCCCCGATACTTATAAGATTAAATGATATCGGCTCATTTCCACTTAAAATAAAAACTCTAAGTCATCATATTCCTGTCTAAGAATATTTATTTAATTACCTTTGTCGTTAATCTTTTAAGATGATCGTAAAAATGGTTGAATTTATAGCGGAGCCATTTTAAAATTTTATTTACTCTGACCAGTTTTCCCGTTAGATTTATAAAATCGGCCATTTTCAAGTTTCCGAAAAAAATTGTATAAACTCGTAGTCTTATTTTATTGTAATGAGTGATTTTTTGAAATATTGTTTATATAATTATTGGCAAACACTTTAAATCGAATACAAATAAATAAGCTACGATTTTCAGAAAGTATATTTATTTATTATATTGGGTTTGTTCGGCAAATTTTTAAATATTTTCTTTTTTAAACATAATTCGAAACGAAACATTCTTCGTATTCTAAAACGAATAGAATATTGAAGAAATATTCGATTTTACGACATTTCTCGGCAACATTTAAAATCTGAGCCTGAAATTGTATTAAAAACTAACATATTATTATTCGACTTAAGAAGGTTCAGCACCATATCACGTGATATACTTATTTTTTGACCCGCAGCAGATTAGTTTATTAGAAATTATGCGTAATTTTTTTACGTTTATTAGCCATGATGACTCATTAAAATAATTATATTTTAATTAATAAACAAAATATGTAGTTTGTAAAGAAAATCATTAAAAACCTATTTAAATTTATGAGTAGTTTCTTTTTTACTTAAGATTTAGAGTTGGGGGGGGGGGGGTACGATGTCAGATTTAAAAATGCTAATATGACCTTGATTTCTCCCACTATCCATGTACCCATCTATAACCCACACCCTACACCTTATGCATGTAACGTGTAAGGCGGAGGCGTACCCATTGCAATACACCTGGCAACTCCAGTAGTTAGTGATCACACATAGTAGATTAATTAAGTACAATAGAGTAGCAAGCTTTGCTTTCTTGCTCGTATTTTTTCCCAAGTTGTTAAATTTATTTTTTACCCTCAAATTTTATATGTTACGATCAATTTCTTGATTAAATATTTCTTTGTTTGTTTTAAATAAAATTTTGAATATTTTCAATAATAAACGAATTCAATTTAGATTTTAAAGTATATTGTATAATATTTTATTTTTGGCACGTGCGCCTAATTTAGGAATATCATTTGCAGCAAGCCATTCAGAACCAAAAGGTTACGGTTAAAGGCGTCGTTATACCTACGCCATCGGTGGAGATTGGAGAGGACTACGATACGTTTTACAAGGGAAATTTCCCGTTGCCCAAACAGTTTATACACGTTCAACGTACGTTTAAAATTTATTTAATTTTTTTTAATTTATTAACTAATTATTGAAATAAATGATCTAAATACGCATTAAATTCAAACGAGCTAAAAATTTCTTTCAGAACATGTAGCCTACAATTTTTTTTTATCGAAATTTAAAGGGGTCTTTGGAAAATCTCAATTTCCAGAGTGATTTTGAAATTTAAATGTATATTTCGAATTTTAATTTAATTATGCTTTGTAGACTTTTTTTTCTCGTTTATTTGGGGGGGAGGGGGGTTAATAAATTTCTCTGGAATAAACATATTTTTATTAGTTTATAAAATATAATAAATTCCATATATTTACATAATACAAAAACGCGATAGTAATTTATGTTATATCATTAAGAGCGCTTTAATCTATTTTACGAGGTAATATTTCGCAAATATGTTTTTAGCCTTCGTAAATTTGAGGAAATTCTTTCATTATTACATGTCTTAATAGGGAGGCATGCTAAAATTGGAAATAATGTTATAATATTTGGAAAGTTTATCAATGTTTATTTACAAATATTGAGTGCACCATTCTCAGGCATAATGTTTATTCTTTTTATTGCATACCAATACTACCCGATACCAGTAATAATAAAAATTCTAACTCAGTATTAATGATCAAATGCAATCAATAATAATGATTTTAAAAAAAAATTATATAAAGTTTTGTAAGGTTTGATTATATTATATATAGTACTAGCTGAGAGCCCGTCAAGAATAACAGGCTTTCAGAATATTTTCATTCGATGATTGATAAATAATAAATTTTACCTTTATTTTATAATGGCTATCAGAAATATCCCAGCACGAATATCTAAAAAAAAATTATTATAGGCCTGGCATATGTTTATTACAGAGCCGGGCCTGCAGGTCTCTTATTTGTTTTAATTACAAAAATATTAAATTGTATGTATAATTTTTAGCAGGCCTCATATTTATTTTATTTACAAGTACTAAATTGTAATTACAATTTATATTATATATTTAAGATAGATATTCCTGCAGAACAATTATTAGTAGAAGAACATTATTATGGCTTGCTTAACACTAAGTGTGAAATGTGAATATTGTGATTCTCTAAATTTTACTTTGGAAAAATAATCAGATGGCAGATTTAAGAATTGCTGTCATAAGGGTAAAGTTAAGATACCATCAATCAGATATATTACTTTTTTACAAGATCTTTTATCAAATCCCAAGTTTGCACAACTATATGTCCTTGAGACTACATAGGCTTTTAATGGCAGGTTACTTATGAAAGAAAATTCAGGTTGCAATGAGAATCTCTTGAAAAGATTAGATATTTTAATAAGACAGAATAACCTATTTTCTATTAGCTTAAAAACTTTGGGAGAAATTAAGAAAGAAGAAAAAATAGAACCATTCAAGAAAATTGTCCAATTTAAAAAATCAATATAATCTACAAGCGAAGATACAACATCCCTTTTAGATGAAGTTGCTATGAATTTTACAAATGATTATGGTGAACCCCCGTTTAAACGGGATTTTAAAGTCTATCCTCGAGTTGATGGTAGTGATCTCATAAATATATTAAGTCTTAATCTTGATCTAATGGTATATCTTCTATTATTTCCGTTAGGTGACCCTTGTTAGAAACCAGATTTAAAGGGTGAAGAGCAAATATTTCACTATAACAGTTTAAAATGTTTATATTAGCAATTCGTGAAAATGAATTCAACCCAATCCTTTTTGCTGGGAAATTATCACAACAATATATTTGTTTCCTATTTACAGGTCGAAGCAAATAATTTAAATATTAGACTAAATTAGCCAAAATTACGAGTAGATAAATATTCTGGATTTATGGACTACTTGCAAAAACAATATAATTCCTGGTAAAGCTGTAATACTACCATCATTTATATATAAAAGCCGTGTCAGAAAAATTGTCATGCCAGTATCTCGCCTTTTATAGTATGGATACTTATCATATTTCGCCTTGTTTCCATTTGAAAATCCTTAGGAAATTTTTTGTTACATATGCCATTTTTTATGCAAGGTGATTTGGGGTTAACTGTCCCACAAGGACCATGTATAAAATGGGTAATAATCTGAAAAAGTCTAAGTTCGAGGATTTTATCTGGCATTTCGCTACAAACAAATTTATCTATAGCTTGTAATGTTTCAATTTTACTATCATCGTTTAAAATAATAAGTATATGGGCATGAGGCAAACCTCCTTTTTGGAATTTGATTGAATATTCCAAATAAATTTTTTATTTATATCTAACTTAATTTAAATTTAAAAAGTACGGGCTAATAAATCAGGTCTATCTGAAGGACGGGAATTCCTTAATTTCACGCCAATTAGGATTGCATGTAAAAGTAATAAAACAAATCACGTTTGCCAAATTTGAGCACAATGGCCATTGCATCATGATAGCGTTCTCGCATATTTCTTTGAGAACCTTGAAAAAATGATATTTTATTACTGCTTTACCAGGAATTATATTGTTTGACCTTGTTTCCAAGTAGTCCATTAATCCAGAATATTCATCTATTCGTAATTTTGGCTGATTTTGTCTAATAAAATTTAAATTATTTGCCTCGACCTATAAATAGGAAACAACAATATATCGTGATAATTTCACAGCAAAAAAGATTGGGTTGAATTCATTTTCACGAATTGCTAATCTAAACATTTTAAACTGTAATAGTGAGATATTTTTTCTTGTACACCTTCACTCTTTAAATCTGATTTCCAACCAGTGTCACCAAAAGGAAATAATAAAGGATATACCATTGGATCAAGATCAGGACTTAATATATTTATATTTATGAGATCACTACCATCAACTCGAGAATAGACTTTGATATCCTGTTTAAATGGGGGTTCACCATCATCGTTAGTAAAAATCATAGCAACTTCATCTATATTAGGGATGTTGTATCTTTGCTTATCACTTGTGCGATCTGCACGAAAGATCACATTGATTTTTACGATTTTCTTGAATGGCTCTTTTTTTTCTTCTTTCTCAATTTCTCACAAAGTTTTAAAGTTAATAGAAAATGGGTATACTGTCTTATTAAAATATCTGAGATCCTCATTAACCTGAATTTTCTATTCATATGTAACCTGCAAGGATCTATAGTCGTGCAAACTTAGGATGCCTCCCTGTGGAAGGATATAAATGAGATGTCCTATGATAAATTTGCCCATGAACTCTAAACAATATGGGCCCAGGTTCAAACTATTAGAATTCTGTGCACCTAATGCAAGGGCACTATTATAAGAACGGATATGTTTCATAAAGTTTGAATGAAATTCATTGTTAGGATTTAATAAAAGGTCTTGTAAAAAAATGAATATATCTGATTGATGGTATCTTAACTTTACCCTTATGACAGCTATACCAACTGAGGGTTTTTCCAAAGAAAAATTTAGAGAATCGTTAGTTATAAGCAAGCCACAATGATGTTCTTATACCAATAATGATTGTTTTGCATAAATATCTATCTAAAATAAATATCACAGGGGAATAGGAATTTTTTCTTTGATGATAGATAAATCAGAAAAATAAAGGGAAAATTTCTGAACTATCCGTAAATGAATAAAGGAGAAAATTCTGATTTCACTATCATCTTGACGGGCAAAATGAAGGATATCTGTGACTGCTTTTATATATATAGATATGGTAAAATTTATTGACAAATCACCAAAAAGCACTCCAACCACCTCAGATATTTTTAAAATTGCTACTAGAGTTTGCACATATTATAACTAAGAAAAAAATTCGCCTTTAGCTTCAAACAGCGATGGGGCTTTAAATGCGCTCCCCTTAATTTTGGGAGTTTCAATAAGATTTCTTATGGCAGACTTTAAAGTTTTTTATTTATATTAAAAACTCAGATATAATTTAATGAGTTTTTTTATAAAAATAACTTGGTTTACTTTTGTTTTGTACATTTTAATTTAAAAGGCTAAAGAGAAGTTATTTTTACCCCCAAAAAATCAATAAAATTGTAAGCCGTTATTCCAATATGAAAAGAAGGGGAGGCTAAATATCTCAAAATATTTTTTAAAAATTGGGTATCAGTATCTCAAATATATTGACACTCAACCGATACAGATACTAAGTGTCGATACACCTCTGATTATGTGTAAATATCATGTTTACCAAAATAAATGAGAATGATTCGATTATTAATTTTATTCATAGCATTATATGATATTTGTTAATTATTTATAAAAGTTGTATTTAATTATCTTTAGTAAGTCTTAATTTATCAAACCTTAGTTTGTCTCTTATAATGTGAGTTAGGAGGTTTTGTATGTTAAACTTACAATGTAATTGGCAGGTGTTTCCCATTTCAACCCGCCTCCTCTCTTCAACGTATCCTTATATATCCCCGTGTGTTAACATCAGGTCGTTAAAAAAAATTACTCCAGTTTTTATTATTTCTAACCTATTTTTTTTATTATATATCGAATTAATGTGCGTAAACAGCATTCGACATTGAAGACGTTCTGCCCGAATATGACCTTGATAACGAGGATGAAACCTGGTTAGAAAACGTGAATGAGACAACCCTGAAGTCCAAAACCCAGATAGAACCTATGGTGCTTGAACGGCTAATGGATAATTTCGAAAAGGCCAGCGGACATCAGGTGTGAAGCCTTACCCTCCCGCTTTTTTAATTTAAATAAAAAAATCGATACCCTTCCTTATATTCATTATTATTTTAAAAGGGTGGATTTTATTTCTTCCAATGGTAAAAAATAAAAATTTATCAATCAAATTATTGTGCGTTGTCTATATTTCTTGTTTTTAGAGTTTAGATTTTTTTAAAAGGATTCTTTTAAATCGATAAAAAAAAATCTGTATGAATAAACGATTCTATTATCACCAAAATGATGAGCATCTATAGGTTTAACTGTCCTTATTATTTATATTTTTGACTTAAATACACCTCTATACAAATCAAGTTTTTCCTAGCTAATTAAATTGTATCTATCATTGTAGGAAAAAATAATAATTTCCCTCTCCTTCCCCTGCAAAAGCTTTGTCTTAAAATGATAATTATATTTTTAAAAAAATTCTAATTTTTACATAGATGATATCTTACGAAGAGGCTAAATTGTTATGTAAAGAGGACGAAAGTGTGTTGCAGATCATATACCAGTATTGGCACAAAAAGAGGATACTTAAAGTATATGTAAATTCCAATAATAAAAAACACGCAAATATAATTATTGATCATTGAATCAAATATCCCCTTTTTATGTTTAAATCAAATATTTAATCTATCATATAAGCTCATAATCAACTTACATATATGTCATTCATGCCCATTAATATTTATATTAATTTATACCTGTCATCATAAATTTTTTATTTTGGATGCAGCTAAATAAAAAAAAAATCTTAAAATTTAATCTCATTATTATTTAATAAATCAAATCGATCTTATTAATAATAAATTTATATTTATTATATGTTTTCTCATAATGAAAAAACATGAGGATATAACAATATTTATGGGCAAAATATATAATTAACGAATGTGTACCATTTGAACCATAGAAAATGTCTTGAACATTTTATGTTCGAACTGAACAAACTTATTAGAACGATATAATCTCGTGGAAAGGAATTTATTCAAAACATAAATAAAATTAATTATTAAAATAAGAGTCAAAAGATTTTTGGGTAGAGATAATTAGATTTAAAATATTGGGTTTAGTATCAGCTTCAATGTATCCTCTACTTGTTGAATATATAATTTTTTTATTAAATTTACTCTTAAAAATATTTAAAAGAGGGAAAAACATTAAAATTCAAATTATAAATAAATTGGTCCCACGTAATACATATTTTATTAATAATAGAAACGCCAAATTTTTGATTTAATTAAATATTTACTGAATTAAACTTCCCAAATTATTATATCTTTTTCCGTTTAAAAAAAAATAAAAGTTCATTCTTAATTAAACAAACACCTACATATGATTTTTTTTCGTCTTCTATAAATATACCAGCCCATTGCCCGTCAAGATTAAAGGGGAATCAGTATTTTCTCCTTTATTCGATGATGGATGAATATTTTTAAAAAGAATACTATTGGCTGAATTTGATTGACGTTTTGAGGATTATTTATATAGATTTAACTAAAGGATGTAAAAAGTATAAAAAAAATAACAGGCTCTTAAAATATTTTAACGAAATAATAAAATTCAAAAATAGTTAGTTTATTTGAATAAAGACATTTTAAAATAAGCGAGATTTGTAAAATGATTATAATAGTCAAAAATTTGTCATAATCCATATATTTAACATTCGCGAAATATTATATTATATATAATCATAAGCCAAAAAATTATATACCTAATATTAGGGATCTCACTTAACTCCCCGAGTATTGACGGACAAAAAGGGACTCATAAACTCCTTCAACACCTGTCATTTTTCGGCCAGCTCTTACAAAGAATTCGCTTCGAAGGATAAGCTGAATATGACATCCGCCCTTAACACAAACGTCAATAGTTTTGTTAGCTTGCATAGTTTGGGAAACAATAATTCGGTTGACAGCTCTATCTCCAATCCTTACATAGCGTTCCGACGGAGGGCCGAAAGAATGCAAACTCGAAAAGTTTGTTAAAATTAATTTCTCTCTTTTATTTTATTTAGTTGATGTATTTTTTATAAATATCTAACAATCCTAACACCATCTATGTCACAAAGTTAGATGATCGGTCTAAAGATATTGGGAGGGGGGGGGGGTGTTTAAATCAATTTTTGATTTATTTTAAAATAATTCTATAATAGTCATTGACTTTAAATTAAAACTTAACATTGTTTTTAAATTATTTTACCATAAAAATTTTTCTTCTTTCAGAACCGTAAAAATGACGAATACTCCTACGAAAAGATGTTAAAACTCAAACGAGATCTGCTTAGGGCAATGTAAATAAATTACAATTGACGCCATTTATAACTTGTTTGTAAAAAATATAAAGTCAGTAAGATAATCTGCAACTTATCACTATTTATATATAATTTAAAATCAGTTAAACTAATTATACTTTGATGATAATCTTAATCCCATACATTTTTCTATTTATTTTATGAAATAAATTTTTATCAAGAAAACTTTTCGACTTGGTGAAAAAACGTGAAGCACTGAAATGCCAGCTCATACAAATCGTATCGCAAACGTTTAAATCGAGGTACAATCATCATTGGAATAAATTGTCATATTTTAACATTTGCACTAAAGTTTCGCTCATTTAGAAAATTTAGTCATAAAAACCTATATCGACTTAAATGATCAAATTCATTCACATTCAGTATTCGAGGTAAGCCAGCCTGAATTTTATTACAGCTAAATCCTCCAAGCAAAGTTGTATCATTTTATCAACTAGCTATTTTAATAATTTACCATCATTATATATCATTCACAATTTATTTGATTCTTTCACCAATTTTATCTTCTGATTTCCAGAGTCTTCTATATCCCCTCCCCTAAGCTAATGACGATATAATTATCCAGAAACTTCCACCCCCCTCCCCTATCAAAATTAAAATTTACAAAAAAGTTTTCCTTCCAATATTATTTAATATTTTTTCTCGTTAGAGGGGGGTCATAATTATTATTGACTTATTTATAAAAATAACATATCAGATACCAGATGCAAGATTTTACTGGCGAAATATTCAAAGAAGCCAAAAAAGGAATCAGCAAATCCCACCTTTCCGCTATATCCCCATTGAAAAGTTCCTACATGAATGGTGGAAGTCAACGTTCGTCGCCATTTAAAGACCAATACGAATGGGGGACCGATTTTAAAGTGCCTTAGTATTTTATGTTATTGTATTTCCGATATTTTTCAAAATCATTTTGTATGTTTTTTTGCCTTTCCATTGATTTTTATTTTTATCAGAAAAGACTATCGTCTCCCAAACGCGAAGCTCGTCCCAAGACTGAATCAGCCGCCTTAGCCCCCCACGATTACCATTTGGCAACTAATGCTTCTGCCACCCGTATCAAACGTTCCTTGGCCGCCAAAAGGACCAACACTCATCCACATCTTCTTACGTCTCTCCTCCTTCCATCCTCACATAATAATGTCAATAGGGTGAAGGCAGATTCAGACTATTATTACTATCTGGACGAAGGAGGTGGTGGTGGGGAGAAAAACGAGTTCACCACTAGCAGGTATATATGTATGCCCATGTCAATCATTGTTGGAAACTAATATTTTCTCCTTTTATTTGAGTAAATAATTTGTATGCATTATTTAATTTAACAGCAATAAAGGGCGAAAACGCTTCAAAAAGACCCAGCCCCCAAATCCCAAAGCCCTAGAAAACATCAAGCACGTGAAGTACGACAAACATCAAACCTTACCCGATTCAAAATCTACTTTGACTGACGTTTCGGGCTCCGAAAGGGTTTCGTTCACAAAAGTCGTGGGTCAAATTAGTGAGAGCAAGTTACCGATTAATAATAATTTCAAAGTAGCTAACTACAGCCGCTGGCTAGCCGTAAAACGGCTAGAAAGGGCTTTGAGGTTGGAGGACGACAAGAGAGCCAGAGTTGTTAAATTGGATAAACTTGAGAAATTTTTGAAATTCCTGCTACCAACAAATAGAATGCTTAGGGTCGATGCCGACCACAAAAAAACGGTTTGAATTATAATACCATTTCTTGCTCTATAACCCATTTATTTTAATGTCTCCATTTAAAAATTACCCTTTTTATTTAAGTTAGAAGAGTGAAAATTTTTTAAAAATGAATTGTAATGATAGTTACGATTTTATTTTTAAAAAATATTATGGTGGAAATAATAAAACATTCATAATTTTTATCAGTAATCTATATAAATAATTTAAAAAATTACTTTCTTATAATTAATTATAAGGGTCATTTTTCCAGAGTTGTTAAACGCTATTTTTAAAAGTAGCGCGCTACCGCTATAGCTATTTTCCAAAAAAAGTAGCGCGCTACCGCTTTCGCTATTTGTCAAAAAAAGTAGCGCGCTATTAGCTACTTTTTATAAAAAAAAATTTTGAAACAAATTTTTTTTTGCTTATAATGTAAATGTATAATAAATAATATATAAAAATCAACATTTATAAATATAAAAATATAGTTAGTTTAGATTATAAAAAAATAAGCAATATAAATAAATATTTATTTTAATTTGTTGCATTTTAATAATAATATTATTTCAATATTATCATCCCCAAGTCAAGAGCGACGATCAGAAAGTATAAGCTTTGCTTTACTAAATAATCTCTCGACACTAGCACTTGAGGGCAAGGAAGCTCTAAAAATATTTAATTAGATCAATTTATAAATATAAACTATAGTTTTTACCTTCTGTTATGTGTCCAACTATCTGCCGTGCTACATACATAAGATATATCTGATAACTCTACTATTAGAGCATCTTTCATCACTTTGAAGTTGTCGTCTATTTTATCCATAAGTGTCTGGCGACATAAAACTGTTGTGCCAAGGGATAAAGTTTTAATCATCATAGTAAATGATGATTATCAACCAAGGACAATGGCTGAACTGTGTCAATAATAAAATCAACAATTACTTTATCAGCCAAATTTTGTGAAATATTGGCATGTTTATTATCAGTTGATTTGGTTTGGATAGTATTTGTCTTTTTGAATGAAGATTCTCCTATACCAAAATTTTTTATATGTTTCTCTATTTCCTTATAGCAATTGGCGTGAATAGTCTAATAAAATAAATAATATTATAATGTAAAAATAACAATTTACCTTTAGGTATTTCTTCAGGTTGTAGCTACTCGATTGATTTGATGATATATTTTTTTTACATTTTAAGCACAGGAATTTGAATCCAGATTTTGTTTTAATATTTATTTAAAAAAAATTTTCAAATCTAGGAAATGGGAAATGGTTATTAGAGTTATTAAGTACATTTTCTTCCATTGAATCTTCCATGTCTGAATCACTTTCAAGAATTTGGATATCCATGGGCTATGCCATTTTAGATTATTAACACAGATTGAAAATATAAATTAAAAATTGAAAATATATTTAAATTTCCAAATTAAATAATAAATTATAATTAATTATGATATTATATTTAAATTTTCATGTTTATACTTACATTCATTATATTTTTCAAAAGTAGCGCGCTAAAAAATTAAATAATTTTAAAAAAAGTAGCGGCTATTAGCTATAGCTACCAAAAAAGATAGCGAGCTACTTTAACAACTCTGCATTTTCCCATATTATTAAAAAAAATTATATATCATCAAAGAAATTTAACTTATAATCAATTCTTTCATAAAATCTAGAGATAAATTTAAAATATTCAAATGATCTTTGTGCAAATCAAAGTTTATGATGCTTAAAATTTTTATGCTTTATAATGCATACGTCAAAACATTCAATTACCGTGTTTCTTATATCTATTCAACGGAAAAATATTAAAATTAGTATAGATATGACGAGATTTCATTCGCTGAGATGCGTTTGGACTCTAAAGTCATTTCAATTTTTAAAACAAATTTGCCTGTGAGTTGATAAAATTTAACAAATAGTTATTTTTTTTTAAATATCTTATATTTTTTTAACTATTAAATTTATCTGAAATTTACTCATAATCTAATTAAGATTGTGATAAATAATTTAAAATACTGAATATACCAGTAAAATTAATAAAATACTGGCACTTTTGAGTAAAGTACAAGAGAAAAAAAAAATTTATGATCCATAATTGTATTGATATTTGAAATAAAATGTTTTAAAAACAAATTATTTTGTCATGGAAAAAAATAGGTCGATAAATTTTCAGAGCATACATATTCGTTCCTCCCGAAAAAGGGATATCGTTATTACATGGTAAGCAAAAATTTATAGATTTTACGATATTATTTATTTTTTTTAATTGAACTGTGCAAAAGGGTACTAAAATTATTCCAAATGCAAATCTGATTTTCGTTTATTTAGAATTTGATAGTACTTAAGGGTTTAATCTATTTATCATATTTTTGGTTATCCCTTCACTTCAAACCTAAATATATGCCTTCAAGATTTCTCTCTCTAAGCCCTTTACATAAAATAATGTAGTACATTCCAAAATATGTATTAACTCCCAACTGCTTTTAATAATAAGGATATGTCGCAAGGAACCTGTATTATCTATGGAAATAGATAGTTAGTTAATTAAGAAAGGACTTCACTGGTGATCCCAACATGAGGATTCTATTTTTGAAAGAATATATCCTTTATAATCTGTCAATCCAATTTTTTAAGTATTTATTCATTTCTTGGGTAATTACTCCCTCCTAAGAACTTTTTTAAACATTAAGAGTTGATTTTAATGAATGTTTTTGCTCATTCCTGCTTCAATTTTACCTATGATTTTATATTTTACACCATTATTTGATTTGAAAAATATCATTTTATAGCATTTGCTCTGATATTAGATTTCTGGATAAAATAGAATAAGCCAATTTTTGAAACTGGGTATACCATTTATTGTTGCCACTGCTTTAATATGTTCTATTTTTAGCTATATATTTTTTTTGATAGCCATTAAACTCGGAACTTCATCCTTACGGGTACGCGACGGAAAGCTCTGAAATATCCTGTTTCTCGGACATTTCCGCGAACGTTAAACCCGAAAATCTATCCTTATTACCACTTAATATGTCAATACTCCGTGACAAAAAAGAGCCATCATTACAAACGGATTTCGCTCTAAAATGCGATCACGACTCCAATAGAACCTATAAATTGTCGATCTTGCCAGTGGCAAGAAGGGCTAGGCATGGAAGGTGATTTTAATATTTTTCGCCAAATATTTGTGTACGGGATTATTTCTCGTAGTGGTCATCCCACTCATACTGCTTTTCATTGAAAACATTTTTTTTCATAATCGCCAAACCATGTTAAATTTGTTTAGCCTCTTTATTTTTAGGAATAAAGTGTAAATAATTAAGTTTATCGATTTATTTAATCATTTATTTATCTCCCTTTTAGGTTAGTATTTGATCGACGCCTAAGGCTAAGCCTTGAAAAAGTTGAGGAAAATGTCGTGAGGGAACTTGTTCTACCACCTATATCCCATCAAAATAATGCCTTGACAAACGATATCGAATTCGCTATGAAAACTTCTCCGAGCCATTCACTATCATTCACCCCTGGGGCAATAAAATCGGCCAAGAAATTTATGGCCTATTCTCACTTTAAACGGCATTCTACACTTTCATCCCTCATGCACAACATAAGGAAAGGGTAATAATTATGGTTATTTATAAAATCTATTTAGAAAAACACCCATTAATCGGTTAAAAGGTGGACTATGATAAAATTATTACAATTGTTTCAACTTCTGGACTATATTTGGGTAATGGCCGATTTTTTTGGCTGGCTAAGCCTGAGCCGATTTTAAAATGTCGTTGATTGTCAGTTGTCACCCTTCTAAATTACATTATTATTTATCACTAAAATAGATTTAAAATATTAATTATTACCTATTTTTATTAAAAAACATTGTAAAAGTTTTATGATGAATACGAAAATTATATTAAATTTCCACTAAAACAAATTTTTAATATTTATTTTTATTTAATTTCATTAAAAAAAACAGGCACCGGTTTAGCCAAAAAAAAATTAGCCTAGGTTTAGCTTTAGTCAATGGCTTAGCCCTAGCCAAAAAAATCGGCTAGGCTAAGCCGATTATTCAACTATATCTGGACCTTATAAATATTCACTACAAATATTTTTCACATTTTTTTTAAAAAAAGCTTACCAAAAAACACCAACTTGCCACTCACCATACTGAAAGATGACACATCTCTCCACCTTAAACCTCCTCTAGGATTGGAAAGATCTTCTCTTTATAATATTGTACAATCACCCATTTCTAATTCCATCAAACAATTCAACAACTTTGGGCCACCATTCTTCAACTTGGATTCTAATTCAAACCATCACTATACGCACATCAATCATAATTACGCTACACCTAACATGGCTGTGTCGATTAAGCCTAATTACGGTAACAAAACCGCATCACTCTCATCTGCCTTTGGCTCCTATTCAACTACCAATTTGTACAATGGTATTAACACCTCAAACGTCAATTTCTTGAACGTGAACCTTGGTAACCTGAATAATTTGGGCGACCTTTCTGCTTTCAAAACACCTCTTAACTTTATTGCTGCCAGTCATTCCTCACTGCCCATCACAAATATTATGAGCTCTTCAGTCTCTTCCTTCCCCACCCGATTTAACAAGTTGCCCCCGTTAAATGCTGAAGCATTATCGGAAGGCACAGATCACAGTAATTATGTGCTGAAAAATATGTTTATGACACCCTCTACTTCTCTCGCTTACAATAATATAAATATGCTAAATTCTGGGGTTGCTCCAAATTTAAATCAAAAATTGACCAATCAATTGTATCTCAACAACCTTTCATCAAATGGCGGTTCCAGTTTTAAATCATCATTCGTCAACAATGGCCCAAAAAAGGGTGGTGGTCTATCCTCTTACACACTACAGCCACTTGTTCTTTCTAACAATAACCTTCAGGGGTCCCCTTTTCTCAATACCTCTTGTCAAAGCTATCTCCCTTCTAATCTCATTCCTCTTCTCGGAAATAATGGCTTGGTTTCAAATATCAACCAACCTTTGCCATCCAATAACCCAAACAATCCCTCATCTTCAAAAACATCTTCTTCCCTGCACCACTTCTTGATTTTGAAGCAGCCCAAGGTCCAACAATCAGTCCCCTTTGACCCCATTGGCCTTAATCCTTCTAACCCAAATAATTTGAATTTCACTGGCAGTAGTATTAGCAGTGGAATACGATTCTTCAATAATATTAATAACGTTAATACCAATATCTTAACCAATTCCTCTTTCAATCAAAACACTCGCGCTTTCAATGCCAATCATCACATAATACTCGGCCCCAATAAATCCCTTTCCATTTTGACCTCCTCTGCCACCACAAATACTTGCAAAAATTCTTTATCCTTTTACACTCCTCAATCATCGTCGTCTTTGGAACTAACTTCCAATCCGCCAACACTTCAGCACAATAACCACATCGTTAATACCAACAATTCTTCATACTCCCTTCTAAGACTGGGAAACGGTAGTAACTCGCTGCATCTTAACCAAGCTAACTTTCTGGCTACTAACCAGAGTAACTTTAGTAACTCTAATAATCTTCCTTACAACCACCACATAACCAATTCACTCACCGACAAAAACTTACTGCTCCAAAATGTTTTGAATAACCCTAACAACAACATACTGTTTTTGAACAACAATAGCCAAAATTTGAATTTGAACCCAACCAGCTTGAAAGACTCCCTCCATCAGCAAAGGCTATCCAGCATTACCGATTTTTCTTCCACCAATCAATCATCTTCGAATTTGGCCTACTTTATTAATAGCCTAGCACAAGAAAACGCTAACATCAATTCGGGAAAACAGGGTATAATGGTTTTCAGCATGAACGATTTGGCCGCTAATCCAAGCATAGCCCTCAACAACCACCGATCCATCCTCATCAAGGATGGTGCCGGGGGTGATCTGGTACTCATACCTTCCTCCTTCACTGCAACCTCTCTCCTTAACAGTGAGCAGCTGGCTATCCCAGCTGCAAGGGCCTCAACTAATTTCAACAGTCATTACCCCCCTATATCATTTAACCCAGCCTCCAAAATGCTTTCCCTATCATCCCTTATCAACAACTGCACAGCTGTTACCAATAAATTTACACCCGTAAATTCCTCCAATCTCAACAGATTTATGTTGAATGCTTCCTCCTCTCACCCTGCAAATAACGACGTTTATCTACCACAACTATCTACCACTACTACCCACATGACCTTCACGTCTGTCACCTCAAATTTGTTAAACAACTTGGCAACAAATAACCTTTTTAAGTTAGTCTCCTTCAACGCCAGCGGGTCCCTAAACACTAACCCCGTTCTGCTCAGCACCAAAAATTCTCGAGTCTCCAAGAGTAGCAGCACTCTCGTTAACTCCTCCGATTTCAAGAATAACTTAAACAACCTCATCCTCATAAACAATAGTAACCTAGCCAAGTTCGGCAATTTGTACCCAGGATCCACCAATCCTAACTCCTTTAAAAGGGACGATCTGCTAAACAGCTCGATAGACTCTACCAACTTCAACACCTCGACCGTCTTGTTACTTAACACGTCACCTCAGCAACCTAAAAAACCGTTGTCCGTTGCCTCTAGCCTTGAAAATTTTATTCAACCCAAATCCCTCAATCTTTCCTCTTTCGCCAACACCGCCATCTCCCACAGCAGTTTAGTTGGTCCTAATAATATAAACGGTATCCAGCTCTCACAAAATCAACGCTACAAAACACTTTCTTTATTATTGCCCGCTGGTTCGTTGATTCAACAAAACAACTCGATCGAGAATCACTCTAACGCCACCCTCAAATATAATATTAGTAATACAAATAATTTAAATCTCCAAAATTACAATAGTTTATTGTACCCCACATCCTTGACAACCACGAATACTACCTCTTCTATCCTCAATGGCTTGCTCGAACAAACCACCAGTATGTAAATTATTTATTTATAATCGATGTATTTAATTTGAATAACAACTAAATTGTGGTAGCAAATACATACAAAATCTTTTAAAAAAAATATGGGAAATGTGATATCCCCATTTATTATTTTTTACAAATCGATTCGAATATTTCATTTATTCGAATAATCTAATATACTCAAATAAACTCGGTTTATTCGACATATGAATAATAATTTGAAAAAAAGATTAATTCTATCTTATTCACATAACAGCAAAAAAACATGGTTGCTCATAGGGATTTACTGATATTTTTATCGGATCAAGCCCATCAATCGGTTATCAACCTATATTATTTAATAAAATTAGATCCTGTAAAATGGAGTCATTACAACATTTGTATTTTCAGAAAATATATTTGTTAGGCTAATAACATTTTTATATAATTAAATTTTTAAAAAATAATATAATACATAATTTATTTTTATAAGGATAATAAAACTAAAAAATAAGTAATAATTTACGTTGATCATAAATTACTAGATGGGATTCTACAAGATATACTTCTGAAACAAAATATGATTATAACGATTTTACCTTATAAAATAAATGATTTATCAATATTTGACTTTTTTTCATCGATTATAATTGCAATAAATAAGCCTAAAAATAATAGTTTAATTAAAATTTGACAGAGTTATTTTAAATGTATTCGGATCGCTCCCCAAAAATTGGATCGGTAAATCACTACTAGCTATATATTGGAGATTTACAATCCCCTATTTTTAAGAAAATAAATTCAGTTCGTTACAAAAATGATAATTTTCTCAAAAAACATGGCAAAAATTTTATGATTAGACCACGCCCAAAAATTTTTATTTTAAGAGCCAGACATGCCCCGCCCGTAATTTTTAATTTAATATTTTATTTAAATGCGTTTCATAGTTTATTTGTCCTTACCACAAAAAGATTATAATTTTCACGTTATTTTAATTTAAATACTAAGATAAATTGGCATATTTTATTTTATTATTTAGAATTTTTTTAACAGCCCTGCCTTAAAATTTTAGGCTCGATTTCGGCTTCGATCCAATGGACAGGGCTCAAATCCAATATTGGGTTGGAGCACAAATTTCCGATTATGGTTTAAACCCATCTGATATCAACTTTTGAATTGATTTTTGTCTAATTTTTACCCATCCTTATCTCACTTTATTTTAAACTGGGTAATGTCCAAAAAATAATAAAGTTTCTTATAATTACAGAAATTTTGAATTACCTTATCTTTAATAAAGTAAATCAGAAAAAGTTTGTATATAAATTTCGAACTCAATATCGATTTATAGTCGAAACCAGTTTTTAGCCGGAGTCTTTTAAATCGACATGGCCTTAAATCCCTAAAATTGTTTTTGGAAATCTGGCTCATGAACGTGCAAATGAAATAAACCTGGTAGATAGATGTTATGTTTTGTTTTAATAAACTGTATTGGTCGGTGCAAAAGGTACCTTAATTTTGAAATGCTTTTTTAAATATATTTTAATATAAATTTCTTGCTTACCCCAGACCCGGTCCCTCCAAACCGTAAATTCGTTTCGTTAAACCCTAAATCACAATTTAGCTTAGCTTTCAACACATTACTACCGCCCTCCAACTTTACGAACCATCCTGGTTACCACGTGAAGAACAATCTCGCAGCTTCATTCAATACCGCTATCCCCACGTTGCCCCTCGATAACGGGTTTAACGTCCAACAGCAAAACATTGTGAACCTCAAAAAATTTCAAAATAACATGGACCCCATGGAAAGCGAAAATTCTGCCACACGTCCAGAGGATTTAATGGCTAAATCTTCTACCTCGTCCCCTTCCTTTTCCCCCACGATTGTCAATTTGTTCGCTATAACCTAGTTAAAACACAAAATCGCGCCAATATTATATCGTGTCAGATATATGTTTTCCCTTGTATTATGTATTTCCTTGATACTATTTTACAGAATAATTGATTCTGCCGATCTTATCATTTTTGGAAAAAGGGGAATAGCTCTGTAAAGAACATAAAAAATACTGCTAATTTAAGATTAATATATTATATTTTAAAAAAAAATTTCGTTATTAATTGTATAAATATATTTAAGACACATTTAGAAACCTTTAGAAAAGTTATAATAAATAATATATGTATATATATATATATAATAATAAATATAATATTAATGAATGAATGAATAAGAAATATTGTCTCTTTACACATCATAATATAAATTATACTGTAAAATATTATAAATCCTTTGATTTTTTTGATCTGATTTAAATCTGAGGACAGTACTATAAAACTTGTCTTTAGGTTTTGTTTTTTAAATTATCGATAAATATTGAAATCGCAAAAAAAAACTGTTTTGAGAAATTGGAAAGATATATATATCGTTTAACTAAGAATTTTATGGTGAATCAAAAAGGTATAGATTTATCTTGTTAAAAAATAAAATTATTTATGAGACAAATAATAGGGGAAGGATATTTTTTATTATACAGTTCGGCTAATAATTATATAAGGAGTTTAGATATGTATAGATATACTTTTTATTCCAATCCAATATATAATGTTTTTATGAAGTGTGTGTGGTATCGCGTCTTTTATTTAAGGTATAAGGCAAGATGGGCATTTTACCTTTGTTATTAATAGGATGTCAGATTTTTTTATATCATAAAATATAGATTCAAACCGAATTTGTAACAAGTCATTTATTCGAAAATAAATTTTTTACGCGAAAATATCTTAATGGGCTGATTGACTAGTAACATAAGAAAGTTTTAAATAAAATTATCGAAATTCCAGTTAGATATCATAAGCTAGTTAAAATTTTTGTATGAGCTTGCTAAACCCTAACTATTAAATTTTTAAGAATCACCCAACAAATTTTACATTAAAGAAAGAATGAATCAAGTCAATTTATTACTATCAATTTTGATAAGAACGCCAATATATTTAAGCATAAAATATGTATGCATAATTTTTATAAAAAAAAAAAATTTACTCGTAACAAAAAAATTTCAGGCAGATTTTTCGGTTAGACCGAACCATGAATATGGTATATTGTTATTGTGTAGTTTATATATTTCATATCAGTTTAAAAATTTTAATTGAATTACCTGTTGTAGTGGGATTAGGTTTATCTTAAATAATGTATTTGTTTGTATAGTATATCATCGCTTTTATTAAGTACAATCTTTAAAGTTATTAATCGACCAGTTATGGTGATGCATCGGATAACTAAATAGGGTAAATTATGCTCTCCAGGGTCTAACATGACAGAATTGATATAGGAGCCCTCAATCCCATATCTAGTCTTGTTAAACGGCTCGTTTTGAGCCGATTTTTAAAAACGGTTAACTCAATATTTAATCCAGAAAAATATTACGCAACCCTGAAAAATTTAGAAGGAACAAAGGTTTAGACATATATCGAGGCTTAAGCAATATTTTTCTGGTTAAAATATTGAGTTAGCCGTTTTGAAAAATCGGCTCAAAACGAGCCGTTTAACAACACTACCGACCGATATCAGTACTTTGGCCATGATATTACTCATTACACTAGTAAATCAATGTGGAAAATAATTATTTAGATATTTTTAAACATAGGCTGCCATACTCTTCCAACCATCAGATAATTACTTGATATTATTTTTATTTATAAATATTATTCAAATTAACTGCTATCTACAATTTCCCTCAAATTTTTCCCAGTAAAAATTGTCTAGTAAAATTAATACTTTATTTTAGTGCATTGAATTATAATACTATCTTTACGGCAATATCCAAATTTCTTTTGGAACTATTCCTGTTTAGATCCCCTAGCCCCTGCATATCTTAGCACACATATCTTTGACATAAGAGTTATCAAAAATAAATAAATATTCGCAAATCCAATGAACACATTTTTATACCTATAATCTCTACATTAGCCAAAGAACTCAGTTCCCATTCGTAAAATCACTGATGGACCCAGTGAAGGTTTTTTTTACCTTAGTCAGGACTTTCCATAGCTATTCATTAATCAGATCAGTTGTATTGGAGGCCATTCCCAAGCAGTCTAACTTTTTTTAAAAATCCTCTACACATATTATTGTTTTGTTTATAATTATTGTACTAAAATTTATTTTGTTTTTATTTTATTATTATTTGTTTTGATTCGAATTAAAATAAATTATTTGCTACCAATCAATGACATCATCGTTTACTACATTAAAAATCATCCACTTTTACTACGTTAAAAAAATATAGAGATTCAGAAATTTGAAGAAAGAAAATGAAGAATTATGTCAATATGAAACGATAAATATTTTTAGTGTAATTTTTTTTTCTACCTTATACAAATAAACTTTGGGATACTAAATGTTAAATAGTTTATTTTTTCAAAAGTAGAAAATAACGATAGATTTGTATTAATTTTTTTAACATTTTTTTTAGTAATTTTTTTAATGAAATCTCCGTTTATTTTTTAAAATGAATTGAAATGTTTTAAAAAATATTCTTTAGCTTTTATATGGTGAAATTGATTATCGAAAAAGGAAGATGACAATTAGAGATTTGCAAATGTAGGCAAAAAAATAGAGATAAAAACTTATGTCTCAAATAATGTAATGACACAGAAGATATGGGCTTCTGACACAGAAGTCAGGGCGATGGCCACAATGTTAAATATGGCTATTTTTACTTATATAAAATATAATGATAATTTTGTATGGGCCCGATATGACCCATTTTATATTCGCGACAATATAAAAATATTTAATAATAATTTTATTTATATAAAAAATGGGGGGAGTCATTTTGAAAATGTTTTAGATTGCGATTTATCTTCCATCTAATCACTATTTATTATTTTTATTAAAAAAAAATTTTTATATAAATATATATAATTATATTTCATTCATATTATAATTTATTGCCTTATATATATATTTTTTATGAAAGTTGTAGTTTATAAATAATATTCAATTACATTCTGATATGCAATATATGATAATAATTATATATATTTCCATGATGTTTTTATTAAATTTAAAATTATGTATAAATATTTATATCAATAAAGTTCTTCGTCTATTTTCTTATGCTAAATAAAGTTTTATCTAATATTTGTGACCCAATTCAGTACAAAATAATATAGAGATGGATTATCTTTATAACATTATATTAGGTAAACAAAATAAGCATTACGATTAAGCCATTTAAGCTAAGAATTTATCTTACTGTTTCTTTGCTGTGATTTTTAGAGGGTTGGGTAGAAAAGGCGGTTTGCCTCTAGTAAATTTTCTGTCATATATGAGCTTTGTCTAAATTAATGTCTATCGAGAAGATGTTTGTATAAGAAATATCATGTGATCGGAGTATTTGGTTATTTTATAAATTTCATGTTGTGTAAATTAGCATGTTAGTAAGGATCTCTTTCCTACCTAAATATTGCTAAACTTTAATTATGATATTGATTGGAGCCTCCTATCAATAATTGAACTAGAGGTCTGGATTGGGTGGTTTTTTCGCCCGTACTTTAAAAAAAATATTTTCAACATTGGGCGAGAGGGTTAAAAAATTTGGGAGAATTTGATATTTTTCAGGCAAAATGATCAGAACAGTAAATAGTTTTTCATAATATTCCATATTATATGTTTAATTAAAAATACATTAAAATAAATAAAGAGCCAAACCAGCCATAAAATAATTTTAAAACAAAATATATATAAAAAAAATTATAAGTGAGAGCGAGGGCAGGTTAAATAAATCTTTTCGCTAAAAACCCGCCCATTACAGACCTCTAATCTGCATATCTTATCACACACTATTTGGTATGATATGCAGACTAAAAATATAAATTTAAAACTATAGAGAGGCGGCGACTATTTAGATAAGATAGATAAAAAAAAACAATTTAAATAAAAAATGTACTCTACATGGATTTGAACACGCATTTTGAGGATAGGTAATGTAAGTCTTACTAACTAGACTACCCACCACACCTTGTAATACTTAATTTTATTTGTTATATATAATCTACTTTTAAATTAAATTTATATATATCAAAAAGAGAAATTTTATTATATTGTTAACTTTAATGATGTTAAAATAAAGATGAGCTCTTGAAATGAAACAATATATTTTACAAAGCATTACTAAAATATTATTTTAAAACATAGATTATAATTAAATATTTAGGTGTGATACCATTATTGTCTCTATATTATATTTTATATCCTTAACTTTAATGATGTTCCTTGATTTTACAGCTCTCATTATTCGACTTAATGATCTTAAAAAAATAAAGATGAGTTCTTAAAATGAAACGATATATATATCTTGCAAAGCATTATTAAAATATTATTCTAAAACATAGATTATAATTTAACAGTTAGGTTTTATACCATTATTGTCTCTATAGTATATTATCATTTAAATTCATGTCATGAAAATTTTTGCATTTATCGCTTCAAAAACATTGGGGGCCATTATCATCAAAATCTCACAACCCATCCGTGTGAAAGTGATTGCGTGAGATTTCGAAATCTCACAGATCACTTTCACACGTTACACCGGGTCGGGCCTTAGAAATTTTTTTTTAAATATATTTAAATTTATCAATTTTATGTTTAAATTTTCATGCAAAATAAAAATATGTGATTTTATTTATAGAAAATAGACACCAAATAACATATATCATTTATTTTGAGTTATAAAAATTAATTTCTATATTTAAATAAATCCGGGCCAAGCAAAACTTTATAAAAAAAAATTTCAGGCCGGGTTAGAAAAATTAGACCCGATGCAGATTACTAATGACAATACCGACTTAACGAAATTTTAGAATGAAATCAAAAGTTTTCATCTTAATTTCGCCTCCAAAAAACACAAATATAGAGCAGGAGTTTTGACTTATTATATCGATTATTCAATTTGAAAAAAGGCTATTAAAATTAAATGATAACTTTTATAGTTTAGTACTTGATTATTTAACTCAAAAATAAAAACGAATTCATATTTTATATTGTTAGCTAATAAAAAAACTTTCTCTATATCATGATTGGTGTTTTTTTTAATTATTTTTGTATATATATTTTTTTTGCTTGTAAATTCCATATATTTTTATTACACG